TACTTTCAAAGGTTGATACTGAACCACTAAAGCTATTCATAAACATAAATTATCAGTTATTAGCATCGATCAGACTAGTGAGCTGAACAATAATCAAGTCACAACATGATAATTCACGTGGGTATATATCAACAGAATGATAAAAAATGATTCAACATAAGTAAAAATCAATCGATAAAGTGGATAGGAGATTTAATGTTAGGCTGAGCATCTTTAGTCGGTCTTATCAATTCGTTATTAGTACATTTGTCTTTGCTACAAGATTAATAAACCTAACCCCTAAATTGTAGATACGTTATGACGTGAAAACCTAATCTACAAGATCCTACGTGAAAGTCACACAATTGTCTACACTGAATCGTCATATTGCAAACACTAGCAATATAACATTCAACACATTTGGACTGAGTAGAGTGTAATATATTTAATACAGAACGCGACAGGTTTTAGACAGAGTGGCCACGTCTTCACGGCCGAGTCGTGCTATTTGAAATCATTGTTTCCCTGTTTGCCCCTATCGACCTCCTCCTAGTGTTACATGTTGAATGTCAAGCTTCTCGGTAGTTATATGTTCAGCTTCAAGTATCGTGTGGTTGGGAACTTATGCAATTGCAAATCTCTTTACTGAACCACGGTGAGGGTTTTCTCGGATACTTTAGTGTAGTTCAAGGGATGTGCGGTGCATTGACTTTATGCACGAATTTCCAAACGCATGCCAGGTCGTTTCAATGGGGGACTCCGGTTCTATTGTGCAATCTACTGAAGATGCCGAGTGCATCTTTTATATTTGTTCTCCAGATGGTTGGTCTAGCTTCAGATGATACATCTTCCCTATTGACATTGAAATGAAAATCAAAGCTAGATCTGCATAATCATTTTTGTCCATGGATGGCATATAGTGGAGTTCGTGACGCGATCCTCATAATGGGTTAATATGAGATCTAGTAAGGATTGAATATGCCACAGGTATTTGGAGTTTGACAACTCTTTAACCAGTAACTTCTACTATGAATCGTACCCACAAATCGAAATCAAAAGATAGAAGCGAGTAGGTTCGAAGATATATTTGGTAGACTCTCAATATATTGAGGACCAACTGATCTAGACTGGCTAGCAATTGCACGAAAAGTTAATCACGGCGTTCCTACTCGTCATCTGGTGCGGATGCATGACCGAGAGCCTTCAGCTAGGCGAGTCCATTAAATTTGATGTGGTCAGCATCCAATGTCGAAGGCTTATACAGCTATTTATTTTGGGGATTCATTTACCGGTATAGGAAGATTCAGAGTCCGGGTCGCTTTTAGTCGCTTCTTCCACATGTTTCACTAGGGCATATATAATAACCACAGCAACTAGTTTCTGTTCGAAAGAATTTTTTGACAATTCAGTCCTCAGATTTTTCCAATCTACTGTAGGTGAATTAAAGCCTCCTAAAATTTAACATCGACCACTTGATGACCAAGTGTTGAGACCGTCTAGCAAGACTTTACTCACCTCACAGATTGGACTGCAATAGACGAAATTAATCAGCAGTTCTTGCACTTTGCATTTCAAGTGGCAACTAACTAATTCCAGCGTCACACTTTCATGGGATATGTTATCAATAACGGTATATGGGATAGTATTTCTGATGAATAGCTACTGTTCCCCCCATATACTTCTGGGTTCTGTCAAGTTCCCTACCATCTACAGTCTGCATCAGTCAACTTTCTGTGATTGCGATTGCATCCGGCTTGGTAGATTTTATCTGTACATTTACCTCCGATCTCTTGTTGAGCGAGCTCCAGGCATTTACGCAATAGATCCGAAAACCGTCTAAACTACTTCATGATGCAGCCAAAGTGGCTTCTGTTGTGGCTTTAAATTCGCCGATCAAAATACAACTTGTTCGTTCTTGTACTGTACTAAACCAATGACGTTCGTCCAATCTCATAAGCCTAGCGTCCTATTGGTCCGTTGCTCACCTATCCCGTCCACTTGAGTCCAGAATGCAATTAACAGCCTCCACTATGCGAATCATTTACTTCAGACATACTGGGCTCATATATCAACCAAACAGACCACAACGCACCATAAAATAGGAAATAACATTCGTACATAATAAGTCCAAAAAGTGACTGTGAACGTGGGAGATAGTAATTACAAAACTAAGCATAACTTTTGAACGATAAATCCTACAATAGATCAAACCAAAGCTTATAATGAGGGGAATATAGATATACATAATCTAATTGCTGAATAGTTATACCATAGGAATATATAAATAATATTAATCTACTAATAGGTCTCAGAATTTACTCGTAATCTAATCTCTGCTAGGATATAACAGCTTCGTCATTATTCTCTATCGAATCCTCAACACACCCAAAAATTTATAAATCCAAGGTCCTTCTCGTCAGCATCCAACCCTAGTTTGGGTTCTGCTTCAGCTTATCGTCTTTTTATGCGGTCCGCGAGCTGAAAGTCTTCAAGAACAAAAACTATTGACCCCTCCAGTTTGTATCCATTCTGTAGTACTAAACACCTTACATTGGGAGATCTCAATACTAATTTTAGCAGCCATCCACTTGATTCTGTATTAAGTCCATCTGGCTGCCTTGTATATAAAATCTTAGCAAAGTGACTTCAGAGATATCCTGAGGCATTAGCTGGTGTAGTAGCGTTTTTACCAACTCAATGTCATGCCGAAAGCGAGTTCTGGGTTCTCAGCTTTCACTCTGACCTGTCACTTTGTTCAGTCTTCAATTTCTTAGCTACTGTTTGTGGGAATGGCTTTTCTTTAGCAACATCACATCGTTTCTTGTTCTTGATCTGTACCCATCCATCAACTTTCATTAGAGTAGCAATCACAATCGCATTACACACATTGCGGGGCTCTGGATGACTATCGATAACTTGAGTAGTTGTGTTGTTGCTTTCCTGCTAGAAAAAGACCTGAGCTTGCCACTAGGCTTTCTAGGAGTTTCTTTCTCACTGCCATTCAGAGGACGTGGGACAGAAGAAACTTGCTTTCTTGAGCTTTTGTATCTCCTGCATACCTTCTCTTCAATATTAATAACTCTCCATACACAACATATAATTAAAGCCTCACCGCTATTTGAATCGAATCAACAAACCAGAAACCTGACAACGAAATCACGATAAGTCATGGTGTCAACTCACAATATGTGGGCATTCCTACTATCAAAAGTCTCAGTATTCTTTTTGGTTATCTAGAATTCGATACAACTGAATCAAGATAATTATTGAGCACCAGTGAGATCATCGAGACCTTAAACTTCTGTTTAGAAATCACTTAACTTGCATTTAAAGGAAACTCATATAGACAGACCAATGAAGCTGCGATGGATTCCCCTGTGTCACATGTAAGGGGTGGTAGTATGTCAAGCCCACACAGGTTGTCCGAGCATCTGGACAAATCAATTTATCCATTCTTTTCAAACCATATTTTACCCTGTCACTTATTCGCTTATCAATCAAGACTGTTTCTATGTAAGTATATGTGAGTACGTTTCTTATCTTACTCATCACATTACTGTAACTTATTTTTGTTTGACTCACTCGCCTTCTCCATTGTATGTTACTCCGTTTTGCTTCGCTTTCCAATCAAGATTGAACGAAATACACATATTGAAAAATCAACGGCGCGCAATTGTGACTAGTGTTGAAGGTGGTTGGAAGTGCCGGCCAAACCAAAACGTGGCATAAGTCCTTGCCCCCAAATGCCCTGGTACGGCCGAGAGTCCGCTCTCCCTCTCGAAATGCTCTCACATGGCCACGCGTACATAGCCTCTGCCAGGGAAGTCCTACTCACTACCTTCACGTCGCGGGGGTGTTGTTTACGAAAATGAGAGAACGAAAAGCGAATGTCCGGCGCTTTAACCGGATCCCAAATCAATGGTGCACATGGGCTCCAGTATCCTGAAGGAACAAATGGCGTATGACCCAATCTATGGTCACCGGCTACCATGGGACTGCATCTCCTCACGATGCTCCACTGCCTTGTGGGTCAGACGTTCAGGTCAAAGGCTTGGGGTGTGGCCCCCTAAGAAAACCACCTGCTTCGGTTTGGGCACCTGGGCAGTATCACAGCCCCCACACAAATGAGATGAGATTTGTGTGGCGCATATGTATTTGGTGCCTCCTTGTACCAATACCTATGTGTTAAAATAAATAATAATAAATAAATAGTCTGAACTATGTTGTTAGATGCAGACTACTTGGTTGCGATCCACGTGACTATTGTGACCAATGGTTGGAGGCTGTGACATGGCTCAGGATGGATCATAATGGCATAGGTGTATAAACTATGTCTTCCCTTGAACCATGAGATTAAAATTACTTTATACCTTTCTTTCTACGAACTAATTCTTCCTTCCTGTATTATATCCTTATACGCGATCTTTCTCTTATACATTACTAGCATTGAAGTAACTACCCCTATGAATTTGGCGTCGTAAAATTTGTTATTGAAATTTCTGAGTTCCAGATGTTTTTTAATTGTAGGAACGTCCCCATTCCTTCACCGATCCATGCTTTCACATCTGCAGATTCCCAATGCCTATAGATGATGCCGCCCAGGTACGTGAGTTCCTACATCTTCCGGAACTCCACCAAGTGTGGTTTGGTTGGTGCTCACTATTGTATTTTAGGATCCTGCTTATTTCGTTCTATATGTTGAGGCTTACCCTGCCCTCTCAGGTTAATACTATCAACGTGTGTGGAAAGAAAACCGTTTTAATACATTTTGCTTTTAGAGTTCAAACACTTATCAAATCAAACAATCTACACCTGTCTGTAATAATTCATTTGCTTGGCAGCAAAAATTTATTCGTGCAAAACAACCTTGACGAGTTACCAATCTAAGCTGAGATTTTTATAGATTCCGGTTTACTATTACTTTGATAAAGTTAATGCTAGTAAGTAGCGAAACGTTAGTAAAAACAATTCTGTTTCTTTTCCCTCACCGGAAAATATCGATTTCTAATGATGACGGAAAATTTGAATTTAAGAAAATATTTGTATATATTGCACATTTAATCGATTAAGATTCAGAAAATACAAAGATCAAGTTGATTGACAGGTACGTACAATAATTGGGATTGGTAAACGATTATATCTGACTGAACTGTCTTTTCCATCTGTAAACTGTGATGTCCAACTAACGTACGCCTGTCGAATTGCATTTTTAATAGTTGCACTATTATCTATTACACGCCACCGGTCTTTTAAATTTACTTGACTACGATTACTATGTCGAAAGGATTGATGCCAGATTTGAGACCAACTTTTTGAACCAGGAGCATACATTACTCCATGCCATAATGCTATAGATTCTTCAATCGTCCAAGGTGTTTTGTGTGATTTCCATTCCTCTTTCGGAAGATGGATTATATACTTCCGAACTTTCTTCTTTTCTGGAAAAAGATACGAAGAAATTGGGTAATCCATTCAACTAAAATAAATTATGGTCATTTAAAATCAGGTTGAACGTTAAGTCATATTGGCATATTAAAAACGAATATTAATGCTATAGATGTAATCACGTTGATAGGACTGTCAATTTTAACTGATATGTTTTAAAATCTGTAGACACAGATCATTTGTGTGCATTTTTCTTCAATAATTTAGAAGAGTTTAATTTAAATGAGTTGAGGAAATAAACTTCATGCCTTTCGAGTATTACTCTGTCGAACTTAGCTACTTTATTTGTAACAGTGCTCTATAAATAGACATTATTACTTAATATAACGGTTGTATAACTATCTGCATTTATAAATGATAATATTTTAACGTCCAAGTAGTCAAGTGTATTACTCATTAGTGATAAAACAAAGTTTTTATAGATACTTTCAAAAGAAAACATATACCTTTAGGGACAGGTGTACACACTGATGTTGAGGGTGATGGTCCACAAAATTGTTCAAAGCAACATTTGTCAACTAATCTTTTTCCTTTTCGTTCACAATTCATATCGGCGTTTTCATTACCACTAATTATGGGCGTATGTTTCAATCCCTTACTATCGGCTAAAATTACTAGAATAGTGAAAACCAAAACAGTAGTATTGAGCGGATGATATGATAAGTTAATTATACATTTGCTCATGGAAGTGGAATTTCGACACCCGAAAAGGTGCTAGTGCAATCCAGACGTTTATTTCTCTTACTTGTTATGATATCAAAATATGCTCTCATGAAAATTAATTATTATACATGATTTGAAGCTGTATATATCAATGTTTTCACGTAGCTCTCAATTTCTAGACGATGAAGTTAACATGTTTAGCGCGTAAAACATAAAGGATACGCTATTTAGCAACAGGTTTAACCCCTTCAATATCTCATATTACGCGATCTCCTCAAATGCTGAGAAATGATAAGTTCGTAGATTAAAAAATGCTTGAGAATTCTATTTTACCGTTAGATATTGTTATTAATTATATCATGACACTGTTGTGGTTTTTAGGCGTTAGTGATATTTACTTAAACGAATGATGTTTACTTCAACAAAACTTGGATGTAGTTCCTTTAAACAATTGGTGCAGTGAACGAAGGGTGATGGATATTTTTCTCATCTCGATATCGACTGCGCAAAGTTTTATTAATAACGAACCAATCATCGTTACAATGAGCCGGTTGAAGTTACAGCCCTCAGATTAAATGAATGTTGGTAATGGTGAAGATTACTAAGCTTTTATTGTACAAAACTCCTTAACTGGGGTCAACGTTATTTTCATGTGTATCCAACAAGCAGAGAACACATTCACAATACTTTTAAATCAGCCACGTGTAACATAGAACCCGGCAGATTTTCATATCGGTTTTTGTCACCATACCACATTAGCACAGCAAGATGAAATTATCAAGATAAATTCCAGAGTAGCAGAAATAGTAACAGTATCAGTAGCTATTAGTATTCAAATTCAATTGTCAAAAAGCCCTAAAGCTATACGTTTTGTATTCTATAACTTGTTAGTAAGGTATGTCTACAACAACATCTCAGACAATTATTTATGCATACATCATGTTTCCAAGTCTGTATGATTTTCAAATAAACATTGATAAATATTACACCGGGAAAGTGGGGAATTTTGAATCGCCTTTAGTTAAACATAAAATGATCGAATGATTTTCACCGAGAATCAGCAACGAACGGAGAATTATTGAACGTTAGATAGCACTGGACACAGTTTTTTTAACTTATAACAAATGATAAAGTAAGAAAAATTTCGTTTAAGATTGTCACAAAATGACTTAAATATTTATTCCAGAATCAAGTAGTCACGGTTAGTAAGTAAAACTGAGTGAAGAAAATCTATGTATCAGATAAATATATTTCACTAAATATAAAACACTCGTCAACTATCAGTGATAAATACACTATTATATGTTTTAGGTAGTTACGATTGTTATCAATGAGTCAGGAGAGTCATGGTGTGCAAAGAATCCAAAAAGGTTAATAATCTATTTTACTGCAAATTGATTTTTAAAAAAAATACTTTTTACGGTAATGGATTAATTGTTTAGAAAAAAATATGACTATGGTTATAGACATATATATCGCAAGAATATTTTATTCTCCGATCGGTCAGTTAGCGAATGTGTACATAGTTTCCGGGGCATTTAACAATAAAATGTACGAATTTTGTTATAACAAAAAGTTTTAAACACACATGAAGATTCCCCGGTATATATACCTGGTGTTTGGAGTTGTTCAAGTGGTATTTCGTCACTGAATCGCCTCAAAGTATCCAAAGTAATAAAAACTGATGACAATTTAAGTAAATGTTGTTGAATGTTGACAAGACTGGGTAAGTTTTTATTATCTGCTTTATTTAGATCCTATAAGTAATTAAAAATGATTTCAAACAAGTAGTTATTTTTTTCTTTAGAAAAGTTATAACTATTGGGAAAACGATATGAAAACAGTTGCAGCATAGTTGCTGAAGTGTAGTTACTATCCCAATGTTTTAGCTGACCGTGCTCAATTATGAATACTAGTGAGTAAATAATGTCCTTAATACCTTTAGAGGATGAAGTAACTGCTTGGCTAAATTAGAAAAAAAATCCTAGAGGCGTATAGATGGTAGGAAAATCTGCAGTCCCTACTAAATATAAAAATCGACGAGCTAGAATAAGTTTGTCAGACCTATATTAATAGTTGGACAATACCGCAAATTAACACCAAACTATAGGTGATATATGTGTACTTAGTATCAACTAACAACTCGGAACCAGTAATTTCTGATGTTTTTTTTTATAATCTTTTTTAATTTTAAAATAATTAACAAGTTGACTCTTCGAAATTGAACTTCTAAGGACAGAAATTCTAGGAATCTCTCTGCTTATTACTAGTATTCTACTGGATGAAAACCAAGTACTTTAGCCGTTGATCTATCGCTCCACTCAAAATCCCATAACCACAAATAAATGGCAAATATAGTCGAAAGTTAGTTTGGTAAAGTGAAAAACCAAAGAATCCAACACGCAATTAGATGGATGCAACCATGAAGTGGGTTAGGAGTGTATACTGATAAAGGAAAACAACTAATAAGCAGATATGCTGTGAGTCATTTTCAAGTTTAACACAGAATAGACTTCCTATGTTCATATTAGTCATTACTAAGTAAAGAGGATTATTAAATTCTCACTAAAAATTAGATACTCTTTGTAAACCTAACCTGGCAATCTGTTTGCACCTGTTCAATGATCTGTATAATACCGCTTTTATCATACGCCAGTCTGTAAATGTTACTGAACAAGTTTGAATCCATATGAATATGCAATGAGATTAATGAGTTCTCAGTATTAACAGTGTCTTTCATTACTTCACGTTTAGTTAATGTTTTTAATGCTGAAATGCTTAAGCTTTCATTATCCTCTATAAGAAAAAAAAGGTAATTTACGTGGTGCACGGAATTTTCGAATACGGTTCAAACACTTTTTCTAAATCCTCTTCAGAAGACTAGATGTAAACTTATACAATAAGAAGTATAACTTGCCAAAGATGTATTTGTGAAGTTGATACAATGTAACATCCTGCTACAGTAACTCCTTAATTTACAACAATAATCAATCCAGCCAAACGCACGCCTAGATGAAGTTTTCTGTAATATAAAAAAAGATGTGATAAACACTGATGTATGTTTGAGCACTACAACTTGTTAACAATGATTAGCTTAGCAACAAATATTTATAGAACAGGGTCCTGGAAAGCAAACAGAATTTTAAATCTTAGTTCTACACTTACTCAGCGTCTTTAACACCGATAAAATGTGTCCCACTGCAGCGTTAAGATCTATGGTCAACCATCCTATTTACTGGATGACAATTTTGAGACTTAATGTATACAGGGACGCTTCTATTTACATGGTTTTTCAGCAAAGACCACATCTTAACATTGATATCCTTCAACTAATTATGACCAGGTAACAAATATGTACTTGAAAGTATCAAAGAGCGATAGGTGAAATTGCTTTCTCCTATTTATTGTAGACTTATAATTTTAAGATTTAAGTACTCGACCATCACAAGTTTAAGATTTTCTGTACATACTATCTGAATACTTAAATAACCCGTGCACAAAACTACGTTGCAAAAGTATCTGGTGAGTTGCTTCATGAATGTGGTAGTCATTCACTTGCAATTAAAGACAGATTTCTATTTTGTAGTAAATACCTTATAGTCACAATTGTGAGATTTTAAAGCTCTGTACCAGAGGGAGGAAATTCGACTTCGCTATAGAAAGGGCTTCAGAATAGATAGATCCACGAAGATGACTGCTAACACAGATCACATGGAAAGACTGCAGAAAATTCATCTGCGGTCGCACTGAATGCTGACAGTCACGTTAAAATATATAAATAGTATCAAATATACAACTTAGGAGTTCCATGTATATCTATAGATCAAGCTATCAGAGTACCCACTTCGAGTTAGTTTCCAATATTATTCAATTTCTCATTAGGTACAGAAGTTGGGCAAGCTTTGGAATCCATGACACAACAGCTAAAAACTTATCATTTAAGGACATGCTCTATAGTCTCATAAACACTCCTATACTGAAAAATTCATATTTTCTTTAGTCCGCTACATAATAAAATTAATGTCTGTACACAAAACTATGAACGTAAAAACTCCACTTGTCACATGTTTGTGACGCCATTTTGACTAAACTTATTCAATACATGATTACTATTATTACTCATTCGAAAATATCTAGGCACATCAGAACTCAAAACTATTATTTACCCGGGTTGGAATTTCTAGTAACAGTAGGGAAAAGATGTAGGTTATTTATCAGATGCATAGTATATACGTTTGTTTTTCAAAGTTATTCTACTTTTTGTTGAGGTATTTTCTTTTGAAATACTGTCGTAGCAAAGTTTAAATGGTGGCGGTAATAAATATCCCGTGACCACAACCTGTTATTGACACCAAAAAACACTCAGCATCAGTGACAGTGGCAAACAAATTTGTTCAGTTAAGTGGTGAATTTCTACCCATTTAGAATTAATTTACATTTTTATTGGATCGGATGGTGTTTACAGGTATTCGACTTCTAAAAGAATGGAGGTGACTTAAATGTAGAGAATAAAGTAGCAAACCATTGACATATACTACCTTAAATAGAGCTGAGACCTCAAAACTACATGGAATACTAAATGAAAACTCAATGACAAAATGTACTATTTATTTCATACTTGGAAAATTATGAATTGTATATTTAGAAGCCTGCTCCGATCTATATTTTCGTGATTTCATAACCTAGATATTTGAAGTGGAAGCTCAGCAAAAACTTTGAGATTTTAAGATACCTCAGACATGTTGAATGAGTTGTAATAAAAATACCAGTTAACGGCTTAAGATTAAACATCTGCTGATGAAAATCCAAATATCCTATATAAACAGAATATAAACCATATACTTCGAAAATCCTGTTATTGTTCATACTATATTAAGTGTAAATATATATGTTTCTCCAGTTAAGGTTCAAAGATAAATTATTATTAAATGGCGCCCCCAAATGCCCTGGTACGGCCGAGGGTGGGGAGAGTCAGCACTCCCTCTCGAAATGCTCCCACATGGCTATGTGTATACAACCACTACAAGGGAAGTCCTACTCACTGCCTTCTTACACTGTGGGTGTTGTTTACGAAATTGAGAGGACGAAAATTCGACGTCCGGCGCTTTAACCGGGTTGGTGAATATGGAGAATCCACATAGAGTTGGAAAACCCCAACTCCAAACTAATGGTGAGCATGGGCTCCAGTATTCTAAGGAAACAAACGGCATATGAACCAACTGTTGGCTACCGGCTACCATGGGACTGCATCTTTTTACGTTGCACCACTGCCTTGTGGATCAGACCTTTAGATCGAAGGCTCCGGATGTGGCACCCTAAGAAAACCACCTGCTTCGGTCTGGGCACCCGGGTGGTAACACAGCCCACATACAAATCAAGCGACTTGAGTGGTGCATATGTATTCGGTGCTCCTTTGCACCAATATTTATGTTCAAATAAATAAATAAATAAACAGATTAGTAGTAGAAAATTATTTTTGAAAATATGAATAAACTTATTTTGGGAAGCAGAAAATATGGAACTCAGTAATTTATTGTATTGTTAGGTAATGCAGTCAAATATATTGTTAATGTAGATCGTATACATACATTCAGTTAACAAACTTATATTAACTGTCTAGTTCAACATATTTAACATAGCTTATTAATCGGGTCACTACGTTACACACGATTCAGTGTAGTTTTGATAGTTTTTAAAACGGTTATGGGTCTGTGGTTGATAAACAAGTAAATCCACATCTGCAGTCTTACCCTCTTCCTTACACTGAGCAGTTTCAGCTCTTGTCCAGTTATACAGGGTCATTTATCTGTGGTAATAATAGGTTGCAGTACTAATAATTTGTCAGGTTATTAGACTTTAATAACGTTGGTTCCCACTAACTGATGATAATTTGCACAGTTCGAGCCAACGGATTTTTTTAAAGTGATAATATATAGCTGAAACAGTCATGATAAACTTACCTGCTACAAATAACTACCAATCCTTACACAGTTAGATACCATACGGGAGCGAATAAAAATTGCGCATTTAGAAGAAATATCAATTAAAAGTCATTCATTAAATACTGTCAGTTGCTTATATGAAAAATACAGCAATCTATTGCCCTAAACGTTTAACACTATTTAAAGCCCAAGGCAGCTAGGAATCTGGTTGTGAGGATATTGAACGGATAACTAGTAATTGTAGAAGGATACATGGAGTACCTCGCGTTATGAACACGAGAGAAGTGTTGTGAAAATATTTACGTTAAGGCTAATGAGTTTAATATGTGACGCATCAGTCCAAAAAACGCATGCACCTACGAATATCGAAAATAAAAAAAGACTCATGTGGCTTGGTTTTCAGGCGAGGAAACAAGTATTGTGTTAGTAATACTGTACAGTAATCCGAAGCAATGGATAGATATATATTACATTCACTTATTTTACATAAAAGTGCTTGAAGTCACTAACTTCTAGTCTGAGCCATGTTGGTAGATGCAGACTACTTGGTTGGGGTCCGCGTGACTATCGTAACCAATCGTTGGAGATTCTTGGTGACATGGCTCAGAATCAATCACAATGGCGTCGGTGTATACACTCTGTCTTCCGTTAAACTAAGAGATTAAAATCGCTTCATATCTTTCATTCTACGAACTAATTCTTTCTTCCTGCATTATCTCCTTATATGCAATCTTTCTTCTATATATTACCACCGCTGAATTAACTACTTCTATGAATCCGGTGTTCATCTTGTTGTACTAATGCGGTATGGCAACTTGGATCGATGCATATATATGCCTGGTCCTACTTTGCAGCTGACTAACACATAAAAGCATTGCATTCTCAATGCACAAGTTTAAAACAAACATGAGACGTATAAGAAGTTAGTTACAGAAATATCAAATTAACGACACGAACGATAACCTGAACAACCAATCACGTATAATGCATTTTGCGGCACATTATTTCGAGACATGATACATATCAATGTCATTAGATTATTTTTTTATTTTTTGAGTCACTGTCCTCTAAATAAAAAACAAAAATCTACGCGCACTTTCAACTGAAATTCCTCCCAAAAGTCAATCCTCGGCTTAATAGTTCAAAACACTACGTAACATTGAGATGAGAATCACCATGCCATTGACTTTTAATAACTATTAAGCAATAGTTATTAGTCCAAACTGAGGTGAATCCATTGAGAAGTGAAAAGTAAGGTATATCAGAATAGAACGAATAGTATAAAGTGAGGATTTCAGTTTAAACAGCACAGGTAGTGATGTCGGTGCACTAGGAATGTGGCATTTTAACAGGATAATGATAGTTTCATTTAGATTATAATACCGTCAGTAACTCCTTAAAATTAGGCCGGTAAAACTAAACTATACCGATGACCTTAAGTGAATTCAAGGGTGACCTTGAGGTTAAGCTATAAGAATGCAACATACGCGCAAGAGCCCTAAAATATAGAAAAGTGGTAAGATTACAAAAGATTAGGATACCCAAAGATATCAGTGAACTCATTAGTGCTAAATAGCAATAGGTTGTAGGCCATAGTTGTGTGATCATAAAAAGTACACACCCTTAGATTTAAGTCTTTTAAAAGCTAAATCAACATTAAAACTTCCTGACTCTAACTCCTGAACGAACACGGTAAGACTACTATAGCAAAGACCACCAAATGCAAGTGGTGATCTTGAGATTAGTCAATCGGTAGGCAGATTAATTGTAAACGCTCAAAATATAGTAAAGCGATAAAAATAAGGAGGACTAGGTGTTTTAAAATCACTAATGGACTCATTGGTGCTAAATAACGATCATACAGACTGGATATCATAGTCCTGTGATTAGAACACCCTAATTTTTAGCTCTATATCCAAAAAAACCTAACTTCTAACCCTGAAACTACTGAACCTTAGCTTTTAAACCTAACGCCTAAGCCTAGTAATCCTCTGCTTAACCAAAACATACTGACCTTAACAAACTATTCCACGAGGCAACCACTATCCGAAATTCGAAATAGGAAATATAATGAAAACCAAGAGTTTAGTTGCAAGAATTCCGAATTAGTGCACCGGCTAGCTTAATCTCGACTAACCGTTTAAGTGTAGTCTTATCGGTAAGAATAGTTTCGGTGTTTTCAGAATTCGACAGATGTAGAGCCGAGAATTGGGGCTTGTTTTTATTACAAAGCTATGATATCTAACCTGAAAAATCGACATTTGACACTAATAAGTCAACTTAACCCCCTGCGATTCATTTCGGAGCTCTCATATGAAAACAGCATTGATTGATTATTTTTGATCGGCCACCGACAAATTCGCGGTAGGTAATTAGTACGGTATAATCTTGACCTAAATCTCTTAAACCCTAACTCCTAACTTTAATACTTCTAGCCTACACAACCTAAAACCTAATATACTGACTATAAACGTTTATTTGACAATCAAACCACTACCCAATCCTATCGAAATACGAAATATGATAAAAACCGTGGGTTTCAGCTTCACATGACCTCTAAAACTTGCGCCTCGACCTGCTTTATTCTGAATGGTCAAGCAAGGCTACCGAAATAATATGGTCCCACCCTTAATATACAGCTTTTAGATCAATAATAGTGGCAACTAAATAACTTGGGAAGCAATGTAGAGACGTACCATCACAAACTTCAGGTGATTTGAAAAATCCATCAGGGGTTTCGGTACTTCGGAATATCCCAATTTTAATTCATTTGTAATGTCATCAATAAAGGCAAGCGTCTCCATTACTATGTTATTGACTATTCCAGCCATGCGGATCCCTCCAGTGTTGTCACTGAGGGAAGGAGGGAGTGAAGATGCAAACTGACAGGTCCATCCAACAAATGCATCCAAAAAGATGACTTTCAAACCATGAATATCCGCAAAAGTTAACGAAAACTCTTGAGTAACTTCAAGAACCAGTAAAGAATCTGAAAAATATGTATAGAACGTCAATAGAACCTGTAAGAAGTTTGAGATTAGATATGTTATTTGTTCCCGATAGCGACTTGTGGATTGATTTGACGAAGCTATATGAAGGAACAATCATAATCACATCGTCCATCGATGAGGATTGAATATTTGCATGTCCTGTTCAACATTTACTTTTATTAATTTAAACACATGAACGTTGGTACAAGGAGGTACCAGATACATAGGCGCCACATAAATCATTCGAGTTATGTGAGGGCTGTGATACTGCCCGGGTGCCCAAACCGAAGCAGGTGGTTTTCTTGAAGGGCCACAAACCGAGTCTTTGACCTAAAGGTCTAATCCACAAGGCAGTGGAGAGATGTCAGGAGATGCAATCACATGGTAGCCCGTGATCAATAATTGCTTCATACGCCACCCATCCCCCCAGGATACTGGAGCCCATATACACTAATGGTTTGCAATCAGGATTTTCCAACTACCCTACGTGCCCAACAAACCCGGTTAAAGCGCCGGACATTGGCTTTTCGTCCTCTCAGTTTCGTAAACAAAAGTAATGCTGCCAGAAGGCAGTGAGTAGGCCTTTCCTTGCAGTGGTTGTATGCACGTAGCCATGTGAGAGCATTTCGTAGTCGACTGCGTGTACCGTGGATCAGTGGTATTCGCCCTAGGCTTCAGTGGTTAAACGAGGTATGCAAGGGCAAATACCACTAATCCTTGGTACACACAGTCGAGCACGAAACCAGGTGGATGCTTCACTAGTAGTGTAAGACTAACATGCCTCGCGACGGTCCTCATTGGTGGGTGAACAATTCAATGTTTGGTGAATTCTGTTTTACAATGATAGGAAGAGCCGACATCGAAGGATCAAAAAGGCACGTCTTTATCAACACTTGGCCACCACAAGCCAGTTATTCCTGTGGTGCCCATTCTAGCCAAACAAGTGGGGGAAGCTTAGTAGGCTCTTCTGGAGAGAAACAAGCCACATCGAAGCACAGCACAACCACCGGGGCTAGAATAGCTGTTTTTGCAATCGGTTGAAGTTTGTCACGTAGGGAGCAATCCTGCACATTCCACGTACCACTTTTGTGAATTTTTTGTCGTTTTTCAATCCAGGAGTAATTGTGCTGTGATTCTTTGTGGACTTCGTAATCAGTTTTTGAGTATCGGTCGAGTTGGTGATTAGCCAGATTTCTACCACCCGGGTTACCACTAATGTTAGTTCATGGGACTGAATCCCACTATTCAGGAGGCACGACGAGGACGTGTGAGTCGGGTAACTTTTCTGACATCTCTTGCTTCAAACTCCAAAAATAACATCAAAAGTCTCGATAGGCGCCATAATAAGGCTGTCATAATATGAATTTTTCTGTCTTCACTTGGCTGTTTCAGATAGGCAACATGGTAACAAACTATAAGATCTTTTAACTAACTTTGATGTATACTATTTCTGCAGGGATTATCGGTTCTGTCCGTTTATCTCAAAATTTAATTCAGTAATTTATAGTTGAGTGTTTGAGCAACTTAGTCACTTCACTACATCCTGGAGGAGATTCTCAAGCAGTGCTTGAAAGTACTTGATACTACCAAAAAAACTTAAAGGTAAACTGACAAAAAAATTACAGGATAATTGTGAGCAGCAAAACAATGACAGTGTATTGTTTCGAAAAGATATTTGAAAGTTAGGAACTGCACAACAGTTACTTAAGTGATATATCTCTTTGTACTGATGGTTTTTCGAAACGAGTCAGTGTGCTCTCACAATAAAAATTTGTCACATTACTGATCTGAATATAAAAAATCTTAAGCAAATGCACGTCGCGATTTTGTAAAGCCTGGTTTACTCACGTTCCACCAATCTGTCTCATAGATTTTTACTGTAGTTCACTGGAAGTAAAACGACCGAAATTAGTTAGTAAATTTGAGACTGATCTTTACGAACGTTGTAACAAAGGCATGTAGAAAGGCAGTACTTTGGCGATAGTAGTCCACTATCTTCAAGAAAATCTGAAAAAAGGAAAATATGAGCACAGAATTTACTACGTATACTTAGTATACTCATACTTAATAGTGAGTTTTGTTCCTCTATGGAAGGACATATCACCTTTAAGAGACTACTTGACTGCCGATTTTCAGAATCCGTTTTCCGTCTACCTCTGTAAATTTCACGGATACTGACTCCTGCTACTGCTTCTGGGAGTGGCTTTTATTATGAAGAACTTGTTGACTTAGGCTTTGTTCAAGCCTAGTATTTGTGAGCCTAACTGGGTTTTCAGTTTATGAGATGAATATCTTGAGATGGCCTGGTAAGCTTTGGGATTAATCCACTCAAAATAATCTCTACTGACCAGCTGAAAGGTAGACTCTTACCTAACAGCTTTTTCAGAAATCTGTTTAACGCATTCATTGACTTCACTTTCTGAAGTTTCCCGACTTTTACAGGTCAAACTTTAGCGCAAATTTCCTAGCGTCGATGTGCGGTCCCAAAAATGTACTTTTATAATCTTGCTTCTGGGTCGTAATAGTACTGTGACGCTTCTTAGAACGTTTGATATTATTGTTTGGAGTTCGGTCTATCGGTAAATTTACCATCAGTTATGTTTGGTGGTCTCCCACAGTGATTTCCTTTGTATACGAAAATGAATTGACCACAGTACTTGATGCATCTTTAGGATCCATTAACTGTTCTGTAAAATTCATTGCATTCTTGAAGACGTCGGTGGATTTTCATAAGTTACATTGCCTTAAATATAAAGAGGTTTTGTTAAATTTTGTGCAGCCAGAGTGACCCCAACCTGTAAGACTTATTGCAGGTGTCTGAGGCGTGTTCAGTGTAAAAATGATACAGTATAACGACGTTGTCCCACCGAATCTCAACCTCATCTTGAACATGATATGTGGGTTTACCACATCAATTAGTCTGGGAAATTTACTAGATACGCGGATGTAACTAAATGACTACTAAGACCCTATTAGTAGTGGAACCTGAGAAAATAACAAGTTGAGATAAAATCTCGTGGTAAAAATGTGTAATAAAGTGCTGGTTTGCGAGTGAATTATTAGATACGAGATATGTTAACTTAATTGCACACAAACCATCAGTTACATTTGACGTTACATACCTGTACTTATTTTGCTTCTCATAACCAAATGTTTTTGAAAACCCGCAGGTTCACAAGTTTTGGTACTAATAACCAGCTTGATGACAGCCAGTATCCTATCAGCCAAGGCAACTAATGGCAGCAACTTATAGTAGCCGCTTTTCACCACAATTATTCGTAACTATCCAGTAGCTGATAAGCCCTATTATTCGAGTTCACATATTCCTAGTTTTAACAGGTGGTGACAAAATATGCGAACAAACGAATCGCAAAGGGGTTTGGCCACTCAGAACTTAATCTGAACAACTATAAATTCGAAGTATAGGTCAGGGATTAGTGAAAAAATCCAACATAACCAGCAAGAACAACTTACGGTCGAAACCCAATCTAGCACCTAGACAACGTGAGTAAATCCACCAGCCACTGAAGCCTTTCACCCGGAAATCTAAGACTATGATTCCTAATGTCCACACTGACAGAAAGACTTGTAATCTGCGTTGTCTTTGTTCGGTGTCACTGTTAGCTCTCTTTTCACTTGTTTCTTTACGTTCCTGCAGATCCTGTTGTTACAATGTGAAATAATCGTGCTACATTTTTAACTCCTTTCATGCATATTATTAGTTTAACAAGTTATTTTATGCTTCGTCGTCTGAGTACTGAGGAAATCAATAGCGAATTTCAAGATGTTTAAATATACGTTCAATCAAAAAGCCAAACGAGACCACTGAAGTTGCCATCAAAAGGAGGTCATATTACTTAGTATATCAGGACTACGACAAAGTAATGTCTATATCAACCAACTTGGAGAGGACATTCATTCATGAGCCCCGCTTCAATAAAGAATTAGTTACAGAGACGACGTCAATACGTCTGGGTTAAGGTTCATCGAGACAAACGAATAAATGTCTCACCGTCGTTAACATCAATATCAGGAGCTATGGGGTTTGTCCCGGAACGACGCTTATCAAAGAACTTATTCTCAATACAGGACTACCTGGGAACCAGTGTCACTGAACCGGTTACTCAGTGTGGACTTTAACCAGGAGGATATACTGAGGACATTAAGCTCCCTCTATGGACCGCAACTGAGATCATTAAGGCATCTTAAAATTTGCAGTATTGCTCCAAAAATTACTGTATTTCAGATGTCACTCAGCCATTGCGCATCGTCTCTTGATTGTATGGATTAAAATGTCACTTCGATTCATAGTTCCTCACGCAGAAATGAACTTCCAACACACGTACACAGTTTCTAGACTTAGTAAAAGCATTACAGCGTGAGTTGCATAGGCAAGTCTCATGTTTTACGTTTGCCGACGATACTTTCGAAAGATACGAAACTCCCAAAGAACCTGAAATGAAATAGCGATTGATCTAATCAATAAAGATTAGATGAAACTTTTTTATAATGTAGAATTAAGTAGTGATATAACAACAGAAATAGTGTTACGGGAAAGGGAATTTATTGTTTAATATACTTTGACAGTTTAAAAATCCCCATAGAATATTCAAAAATAAAGAATATTTGAGCAAACAATTGTTTTCAATAACTTCATCATCAGGCTCTACAGTTATAAGTCCATAATTATTGTGATATTTTACAAAGTCCAAAAATAAGGCATGTATTAATGAAATTTGACAATGTTATGTGTTAAAAAATTGGTGCACTTTTGCATCTGTTACGATATATATATATATATATATATATATATATATATATATACTTCAAAATGGTATTATTTGCAAATGAGAAAGGTCATTCAATAAAGGTCAAGCTGATTTGGAGTAAAGTGTTCAATCAAAATAAGTAGAATAGTATTATAGCAAAATCGAAAAAAAATCGAAAAACAAAATTGTGTGAATAGAATGCATAGTAAGAGAATTTCATCTTGTCAATTGAGATAATAATAATAAGATTGTGGTTTCAATATAATATGTAATGTACTTTGGACGAAAATTTACCAAAACAACTCTTTCCAAGACTCTCACAGCAAATGTAGGCTGTCCTAGCTAAATCATAAAATATGATGGATGACGTTTTGGTTTCGTCAGTCCATAGGGTTATTAAGATA